CTCACTATTGTGCCAGGCTATAAAGTTGCCATGATCAGCTTAGTTACAGCAGGCCTCAAATCCTACGGCCAAGTGATACCTTCTGCTCAGCCTACGAGGTAGGCTTGTCCGTTACAACTACATGGCATGATGAATCACGTTGCCTGGCTAATTTTTCTATTATTTTTAGTGGACTTTTTCTTTCATTTAGTAAAACGGGGGTTCTCACTCTTGCTGGGCTGGTTTTAACCTGACCTTGAGATCAGCCGCTTTGTCCTCTGATGTACCCGGATACATGCGTGAGCCACGCGGCCGGGCCTAGACAACCTGTTTTGTGAACATGTAGCATTTTAATGGAATAGATTGGCCTGTTCTTTACATACTGCTCTTAGTGGTAGCCATCAGTGAAATTACAGCGCTCACGGGACAAGTTGGCGTCTTAGCTGCTATTGGTGGGAAGGTATTTCCCATGAGCGCCTTATGAGTTTACTAGGGCGGAGTAACTTAACATTCTTAGGTTCCACTTGCTCTGGGTTCCCTGCGGCGGCTAACTTCCAGGATATTTAGGATCGTTTGTATCTAATCATGTCATCACTAGCCAGCAAGTGGCTTTTGAGCACTTAAAATGTGGCTAATTCAAATTGTAATGTGCGTGATATATACTATTTGGTCAGACTCTAGGAAAAAGGAAACTATTTTTAATATTGATTTTTTTGAGATATTTCTGGATTTTAGGTAAGTATACATAATTGAATTTTCACTTTTTTGTTTTTTGTTTCTTTTTCAATGGGGCTTTTAGATATTTGGAAATTGACATAGATTATTGTTTTTTGTTAGGGCAGGAGTGATCTGACATTGAAATTCCCGGGTGGAATGTGTTTAGTGTTATATGGTTTTTATGTCATTAGTCATTGTATATCAAGATTTGTTCTTCTTCTTAAACACAGTTCATGGCACCTTGATTTTTTAAGGCCAGCAAATATAATTCATAGATCTCATTTTAGTGGCTTTTATGAGATTCATAGTATCATGTATGTTGGGTTTTTCCATAAATAAACGCTTGCCACAGTGGACTTTTGAGAGCTAAATTGATTTTCTAATGGCCAGCAAGCCATTAGACTATACTGTAGTGGTATTTTCTTTACTTTTCTTATATTGGTTGACATTTCTTAAAAGTATTATTATTTTAATGTGAGTTTGTTCTGTCCTGTTGTTTTGATTTCTTATGGAGACTACTAGGGATATTTCTATGAAAAGAGCCTCTACAGAATCTTTCCTTTTTCGCTTATGTTTTTCCCAGTGTATCCATAATGAGAGTTCTGTGATTTCTTTTGTTTTTGAGGGGATTTGGCAGTGGGAAACTTATTCTGTTCTTTTATGTGCTTTATTTCTTCTCTTAAGTATAGGTTCTTGCTTTGGTTCTAATGTGTTTTGGTGTTACTTTCCAGGAAATACTAGACTGGTTAATAAAGGACCATTTAGATTATTGGTTAGTTTTATTATGCCATGTTCCGTGGTACCTGAATAAAAGCACCATTTTTAAAAATCATTTATAGAAGATCTTTTTCCATCTCTTATCATAAAGCATTTTTCTCATCCAGTTTCTTTCGATAAGTCATTTGCTATCCGTTCTCTTTCAGACTCAGACACCACCTTCCAACAACACGGCAACCGTGATTCTCCACAGCACCTCCGCTTCCTCAGCGTCACGCTCCACCCTCTCTGATCTCCTTTGCCTAGACTCCACCCTCCGAGGCATCCAGTGCCAGTGAGACCAGCACAACAACAGCCACCTCCGACTCCTTTTGTCCTCCCCTTTGGGACCAGGTCGTGGGGGCGCAGCTCAGGTTGCAAACGAAGCAGCTGGCCGGCCCTCCAGGAGCTGCCACAGTTGCAGCACAAGCAGTCTTTGGCTGCCAGGCTGCTGCTGCAGACTAACAGGGCCTGATGTCACCACTCACAGTTTGGCGGTGGTAAGGTGCTTTTTCCTCAGCACATCTGAGAAACACTAAGACATTCATGCCCTGGAATTACCGTAGGAGCTTTTCATCACCATCTCAAGTGAAACAATCTCTTTTA